TTTTTAGACACGTGCGTTCTTTGTCTTTGTATCCTTTCTTCTTAACTCACCAAGTCAGTCTCGAGCTTTCGCGTCGTTTCTGCTTCGATCACGATAAAACGGGCACGTTCGCGAGATAAACGCAGCATGCATTATTTCGTTAGCGTTAAAGATAGAAGTTCACCGATTTTCTCGTTCCTTTTGCAGGCAGTGATTTACGTGCCGTCGCTCGTGGATCACCCCGTGGAAAATATCGTATTTGTTGCATGTTGCGTGATGGTGTACCGTTCGTTAAGTTTTTCGCGCGGCGCGCTGATTACGTTGTTCTAAAAAAAATACGGCGATACCCACGATGTGTTCTTTCGATAGGTGCGTTTTCCATCACTCGTCTCGAAACTATTTACGACGGATTGACGTAAATCCGTTTCCTTCGTACGGTGCTCCTCGCGAACGTTAGAGACACGTAGAAGCCTGCGAACAAATACAAGTAAGATCTCGTTTGTATCACTCTTCGACAAGACAAATCGATTGGACGAGTATTCGATTTGAGGCACTTTATTTGCAGTGATTGATCTCGTGCCTTTTGACATCACGTCGATATATAATTTTATACGATATTATTTTCTTTATTTTCCTTTTTTCTATACTCCCAATAAGATTTTGCAGATACATACGTAAATTTTCTTTTGCTTTATCTTCTAAAAACTGAAAGTGCATTAACGGAAAAGTTAAATGTTGATCATCCACTGGGAACAGTCTAATTTTTACTCTATTGGACGATCCTATCGCATGTTGGTACTGTCTAATTTAGTTGCGAGAGTCAAGACTTAAGTTGAGAATCCATTATGCTCTACACAAGATTGTGCTCTGCTGTCCGATATCGGTCCCAACAATTTAGTTACTTAAGCATAGAAGCGCTTCCGGAAGTATTCAGGAAATGAAATAGTGCGATCGTGAACACGCTAAAAGCGTTTAGAAATCAGAGCGGGACGTATGAAGTTGCGCGAATGAGTTAAGTATCCGACGATGCGAAAAACGGTCGCGTGACCGTTATTACGTAGCTTTATTGCAAAGCGTGAAAATAAGTGACGCTAGTCCTAGGATTTGCGCAAGGTTAACAGGCGCTGTTGAAACGCCATGGAACGATATGTTTCCTCACATTTGTTTTTCCTCACTTTCATATCATTTCGGCTTCATGTTTATTTCAAACTAGATACATAAAAGTTTGATAATCATCACGTCCATTGTATTTTATTTTAGAATTTTATTTCCTTTCTACGTGAAAATGATGTATAATTAAAGAAAAATTACGCGAAGCGCAATTCAAACAATGTCGGACGAACATTGAAATAAACCGTATAAAATCCATCGCGTGCAGTTTATTGAAAGATTTTGATATATATTTGATATATATATATATTTGTAGAAGTTGCATTGGAACAATAGTTGTTAATATTGCTTCGATTTTTCGGACGTTCTTTTTATTCATACGAATATTTTATAGCGTGTAGGAAGGAAAAGCTTTATATTTTATGGATTGACATATCAAATAATTCTAAACATGCAGTACTACTATTTTTCTGAAGGAGAAAAAAGTTATAATCGTAGAAAAAAAATATAGATAGAAGGGGCGTACGTATATTTATGATGAATACACACTTTGTAATATTATTCTTTAAGTTTTGAGTAATTTTATTAATTATAAAACCGTTTAAAGAATCGTTATTTTCAAATATTACGCATTAACGTTGATATTAAGCAAGTTAGAGGGTTAGTACTGAGACAAGTTGAGAAAAGAAAGTTTTCCATCGATAAAGAATTTTCATCATCGGATGGTTGAATGAAACAATTTGATTTTGTTCTCTAGGGACGATTGTATACGTTAATTACTTTCTGTTCTGCGTGAATCAGCATTGTTTTTTTTTCAGCTGCGTTGCATGCGCACGATTGCTACGAGATCGAAGATGATTTTGCGTTGAAATTTCTTTGTTTTTTTTTTTTTTTTTTTCTTATGCAAATATCTACATTTCTTACATTCACTTTTATGGATATAGCGCCTTACCTGTATTCTGAATTCCTAGTCAGATCGCATGAATTTTTCAGAGATCAAATCTTCGAAATGTGCAAACATAGCGTAAGGCGAAAAAATCAGTTTACAGTTCTGTCACGTTAGAGTAAATTTTTAACAAAAATATATCCTTAATATTTATTACATATAACATTTGATTTAATTGTTATTTAAACTATTTATTATTAACTTTTAATTACAAGATTTATTTAACAATTATAAAATCTAGATTCCCTATATTGCAAAATGGAAGAAAAATATTTGAGAAAAATCTAATCTTAAAATATATTTGAAATTATTTTACTTTTACTTGTTTATAGATTTATATACTGTTTTTATATGCGTTCGTATCTTAGTTTTGTTATATATTTAGTTCAATAATTGTGATTCTGTATCCACAGGTAAAGGTCATTTAAAATGTAACTATTGTTGCGCATGCAACGTCTTAATGTAATTTTCTTTGTATTCGCGATAATTAAGATCTACGCAGAGATTCTGGTTGCTCTTCGCTTAAGGTTCAATATATATATATTCAAATATTCGCATAGCTTCGCTTAACGTGGTGCATTCACAATGCTATGCCAGTTAATGCAATTAAGGCTTTACAATGATTAAATTCGCTTTGGTTCCCATTCGAAAC